CTCTCCAAACCCAAGGTAGGAGAGACCCTCTACCTCTACCTTGGGGTCAGCCCGGCGGCCATCAGCTCTGTGCTCATTCGGGAGGAGGACGACATCCAACATGCCATCTTCTACGTTAGCAAGACCCTAAGGGAGGCCGAGCTCAGGTACTCCCCTGTGGAAAAAACGGTGTTAGCCATCGTTTGGACTGTCAAGAAGTTGGGCCACTACTTTCAGGCTCACCCGGTTCAGGTCCTCACTCATCAACCCCTCGGCGCCCTCATGAGGAGCCCCACCAGCTCCTCCCGCATGGTGAAGTGGGCTATCTTCTTGAGCCAGTACAACATTGACATCCGTCCAAGGCCTGCCATCAAGGGCCAAGCCCTGGCGGACTTTGTGACAGAATGTACCGCAAGGGCAGCCACGGACGGGGAGCCCTCGGCTACCTCGGACGACTGGTGGACCCTCTACACCGACGGCTCCTCCGCGACCAAAACATGCGGGGGAGGGGTAGTCCTCATTACTCCCGAGGGCTTCAGAGCCTACCATGCAATCCGCTTCTCCTTCAAAGTCTCCAACAACGAGGCCGAATATGAGGCCCTCCTATGTGGCCTTCGGCTGGCTGCCAACATGAGGTCTCGGCAGATCCACATCAAATGCGACTTCAAGTTGGTCGTTGGCCAAATCTCCGAGGAATATGAGGCCAAGGAGGGAAGAATGAAACAATACAAGGAAGCGGCTAAGGAGTTGCTCAAGGTATTTGAGGCACACTCTCTCACTCAAATACCGAGGGCTCAGAACTCCGAGGCCGACATATTATCTAAGCTCTCGGCCGACTCCCCCGAGCACATCTCCAAAATTGCCAAAATTGAGGAACTCAGCCTCTCAAGTATCCATGCAAGCCCCGTTATGAACATACAACAACGCCAAGAGGATTGGATCTCAGATATCATCGCCTTCATCTCCACAGGGCAGCTACCCGAGAATGAGACCCGCGCTAAACTGGCGAAGCTGAGGGCTCCTAGCTACACCATCGAAGATGGAATGCTCTACAAACGATCTTACAATGGCACGCTACTTCGGTGCCTTCATCAAGATGAGGCCGAGGTCGCAATGGAGGAAGTGCACAGTGGCACTTGCTCAGCTCACCAGGGACCCTTCTCCATGTCCCGAAGGCTCATTTTCCAGGGCTACTTCTGGCCAACCATGGCCAGAGATTGTGCTGACCTTGCCCGGAGGTGCACCGCATGTCAACATTTCCAGAAAGACCCCGGCAGGCCAGCGGTCAACTATGCCCCCATCAGCACGTCTGTCCCTTTTTCTCGATGGGGGATAGACCTTGTGGGCCCTCTGCCGAGGGGTACCTCCAACAACAGGTACATCATTGTGGCCATCGACTACTTTACCAAGTGGGTGGAGGCTGAGCCCCTCGCCAGTATCACAGAGGCGAAGTGCCGTCATTTTGTCCTCAAGAACATCCTCACAAGGTTTGGCGTCCCCCAGCAGATCATCTCCGACAATGGGACACAATTTGAGGCAGCCCCCTTCTGTGCCCTTCTGGAGGCATGGGGCATCAAACACACCTTCTCCTCCGTTGCCTACCCTCAAGGCAACGGGCAAGTAGAGAATGCCAATCGGACCTTGCTCGAGGGCCTCAAAAAGAAGCTGGAGGCCGAGGGCGGTGGTTGGGTGGAAGAACTCCACAACATCCTGTGGGCCTACCGCACCACCCCTCGGCGAGCAACAGGTGAAACACCCTTCTCCCTCTGCTACGGTTTTGAAGCCAAAGCTCCTACGGAAGTCACCCTTCCCACCCGACGGGTGATCCAATATGACCCCGAGGTCAACGACAGCAATATGGCCCTCGACCTCCACCTCATTTCAGAACGCCGGGAGCAGGCCTTCATCCGGGCAGAAAATTACCGAAGGCAAGTCAAAAGCTACATCAACGCCAAAGTTCGCACCAGAGAATTCCAAGTGGGGGACTATGTCCTCCGGAGGAGGGAAGCCCGCCAACCAACCGAGGGAGGAAAAATGGCACCAAAATTCGAAGGCCCCTACATCATAGCAGCCATCATCAAACCTGGGACTTACAAGCTCAAACGCCCCAACGGGAAAGAGGTCCCTAGGCACTGGAATGTACACCATTTAGTTAAATTTTACCAATAATATAAGAGCGGCCAAGCCCTCATAACTAATGAATGTACTATCCTATGGCCCAAGGCCTCCACTTTTGAGGAATGAAGACACATTCAAGACACCACGCCCTCATACTGATTACAGGTCCCAGGCCTCACCACGAGAAGAAACTCCTCCGGCACCAAGTGCCGAGGGCGGACACCATCAACACCTACACCAGCAGGAGAACACCACGTGTTTTCGAACAAGCCCCCTCGGTACCAAGTACCGAGGGTGGGGACTCCCGTCACCAACGGCAAGGAACGCCGTGTGTTTTATTTCCCTTCGGCACCCAGTGCCGAGGGTACACCTCCATCATCAACATCAAAACGAAGAAAAACACCAAATGTTTCAAAGAAGACCCCTCGACACCCAGTGCCAGGGATATGCTCTCCTATCAGCTTCCAAACATCTGTTGGGAAACACCAAATGTTTCCTCCGAGGGCCCTCCGGCACCACACACTCCAATCAAGACACCAAGTGTTTCATTTGAAGACCCTTCGGTACCAAATACCGAGGGTAGACACCTCCATCAACTACAACAAAGGAGAACACCAAGTGTTCCTACAGAAGACCCCTCGGTACCAAGTACCGTGGGCTATATATCGAAGCTAACACCAAGTGTTGTTTCTAAAGCCGTACCCCACGAGGACGCATATACCGAAGGCGCCACCATCGGTGCCGGCGGCACGTAGTGCCCCCGGCCATTTACAACTAGTGTGCAAATGAAAACCCTTCCTTGAAACGCTTTCCGCGTCACTACCCCCAGGGTATGACAGGCATGAGAAATGCCCAGGATTCGACTTTCAAAAACGGAACGCTATCCGCGTCATCACCCCAAGGGTATGACAGGCACGAGAAATGCCCAGGATTCGACTTCCAAACCGAAACGCTCCCCGCGCCACCACCCCAAGGGTGTGGCAGGCCACAGACTATGTCTAACGCCGAGGGGACGACTTTAAAAAATGAGGCGCTTTCCGCGCCATCCCCCAAGGGGAGGCAGGTTACGGACCACCATATCTTGTGCCCAGGAAACGACCCTCGATCCCCTCGGAAATCGGAAGGTTAACCCGAGGGAGGAGAGCCATTGGTGTATTCTGATGGTCTCCTAATAGGCCCAGCCTTACCAAGAAACCAAGATTCTCGATGCCTTCCCTTCACCACCAACCAAAAAAAAGGGGGGTGAAGGGGAGTAGACTCAGCGAGAAATCAAAGAGTGCACTCCAGCAGATCACAACATGTCGAGGGCTCCCCACGGGAACACCTCCGGTAATTGAAGGCTCCTATTTCCCGAAGGATACTACTCAAACAAATATCATCAAGAAACGGCTAAAGTCCACTGCCTGGTCACCTCCGGTCACACGATCACCGAAGGCTTCAACAATACAAAGGGACTGGACTATCCAAGGTCCACTAAACGGTACTTCAAACGCCGAAGGCATCTGTCATGCACCAATACCGAGGGCCCCTACCCCATTACAAGGGACACAACTGGCTAAGTCAAACTCTACAACTTTTCAGAGTGTATGCCGAGGGCACACACTCATCATTGGCTTTCTTCACAACAACAGGATTCCACACTTTTCCTAAGTCCACACTTTTGGAATATATTACAAATCATCAAAAGCCAACCGAGGGGGACTATTCCAAAATATTTGCCCCTCGGACAGACTCCTCACTGACCGAAGGTCCAACATCTACGACACACTGTGAAATTTTGCTAAGTTCCACATATTTGGCCCTCGATCAAATGCTCGTACAACTCAAGGGGCCCACGATCACCCGAAGGGTCCTGTTCATATACCCGGAGGGCTCTACACCCGGAAGCTCGACATCACTTTCCGTTTAAAAAATATTCTGAGTCCTAAAGGAGTAGCCCCCGGGCATCTCGCAAAGTGATGTAGAGTCAGAGAGCACCTATCACCCGAAGGCGACACAAGGAAGCAGCACTTGGAGAAAATTCTAAGTCCTAAGGATTGGGCCCCCGGCCCAATCAATATTGCAGCCAAGGGAATATGGTAGCCGAAGGCTACGCAATACAACAACATTTAAAAAAATTATAAGTCCTAAAGATGGGCCCCGGCCCAATCAATATTACAGCTAAATGAATATGACAGTCGAAGGCTGGGCATCAAGAAGGGATGCTGTCTCCCGAAGGCTCCCGAAGGCTCCCGAGGGAAAATCCATACTCAGAAATCTTTCCAAGTCCTACATATTTTACCCTCATCTCAAGGGACCTAATAGCCGAAGGCTACCTATCAATCAAAGGCTACAGTGCACAAGGAATCAACACTGAGGAAAATTTCCTAAGTCCTAAAGAATTGGCTCCCGGACTAATCAACATTTCAGTTGGGACTCCACAGCAGCCGGAGGCTACATGACATACTACACTTGCAAAAAATTTCTAAGTCCTATACATTGGGCCCTCGGTCCAATATTCACGCATCAGGAAGGAGGCTACCAGCCAAGGGCATCCGAGGGCAAAAACTACACCTGGAAATTTTTCTAAGTCCTAGGAATTGGGTTCTCAACCTAATCACCACACAGCAATTGAACTACAAACACCCGAAGGCCCTATGGCGTGTTACACTTAGAAAAATTTTCTAAGTCCTAATTATTGCTGAACCCTCGGTTGTATATCCAGCAGAGGGTGCCCAACTACCGAAGGCTTCCAAGGGCAAGCTACAATCAGAAAATATTCTAAGTCCTAAAACATACATTCAAAGGAGCAAAGGCATACATCCAAAACGAGACGAAGGCATACATTCAAGAAGAAATGAATTAAGGAAAACAAGCCATATATATAAAGCCCGAAGGCAATCATTCATTCATCACAACAAAGAGTAAATGTAGTTATTACAATGGTGGCCGAGGCCGAAAACATGCTAATGTGGCTATTACAAAGAGTTCAAAATACTGAGTACAAATTACACATCAAACAACGTCATTCCCGGGGGCCGTTTCTTCCGCAGGCTTCGATATGACCTCCGCATCAGCCTCTGCTTCATCGCCCTCGGCCTCTTTCAGGAGTTCCGAATCCTCCAGTTCCGGCCTCTCGACACCCTCGGGGAGGGGGACTCTGATATCAGGCTGGAGGGGGGGGGGGGAGACCGTACGCCGTCGGGTTGAAGGCCGTTGGCTCTATCTTCAAGTGCCGGACGAGCCTCCTGTAGATCAGGGCCTGGGTGAAGAACTCCCCCCCGGCGTAGTAATCTTCGCCCTTTCGGGCTTGCCACATCGCCCCGGGGCCCTTCACCCACCCCTCGGCAGAACTCTCCATGACCGAGGCCATCCAGTCTTTATGGCCTTCGACCTTCCAGCCCTCGGTCATGAAGGCAGCAACTGCAGCAGCGGCGGCCTCTGCTTTGGCGGCCTCGGCATCTTCAAGGGCCTTCTTCGCTGCCTCGGCAGCCGCCTTCTCCATCTCCACCCTCTCCCGGGAGGCTCTCTCTACTTCCGCCCTCGCCTGCTGGAGGTCCCTCAGGTTGAGCCATCTGCCTCATGACCTCAGCGTTATCGTGGACGAGCTTCTTAAGGGACTCTTCCTGTTGCGCCCTCTGGAGGCGCCATTCGTCGAATCTCCTGGCGTGTTCGCCGAGGGCTATGCAAGCCTGTTTAGACAAACAACAAAGTTGTGATCACACAAACAGATAAAGTCATGGGCCACGAGGCTAATGAAAAAGAAAGAAGAAGAGAGGAAGGAGGAGAACTTACGGTAAGAGAGGACCGGAGGATTTTGGACTCGAGGGCTTCGTCATCCAGCTTCCCGAGGGCCCGCCTGTCTAGAGCGGGTGTAGCCCCGCCAAGAAATTCCCGGGGGTCCACTGTGCCATGCGTGATGGCAGACCCCTTCGGCAGGGAGAACTGTATGTCCTCCCGAGGCAAGCTTACCTCGCCACCTTTGCCCGAGGGCGGGCAAGGAGCAGTCGGAGCACTGGGTTCCGAGGCAGAATGCTCGTCCACCACCAACACCAAGGGAGCCTTCTTCCCGGCGTCCCCCTTCTTTTGTTTCTTCCCCTCGGGGACTGGGGCCTTGCCGGCGGCCATTCGTTTTGCAGCCTCCCCCGAGGGCTCACCGCCTTTCTTCGTCTCCCCGAGGGGCTTCTGCTTTGCGGGCTCCTTCTGGCCCGACACCTTCGCCTTCTGTTTTTTGAGGTTGGCGAAGGCGTTGAGATCCATCTTGACACCTGCAAAAACAATATGGGGTTAAGATCGAGGGGTCACTAACAGATAGCACAAAAAAGAAACGAACAAGCAGATGGACTATCTGCTAAGACATAAAATAAGGGTGCCCTCAGCCACTACCTCCGGAGGCTCCCTCGAATGCCGGGAACTTCTCATCTGTCTCCCCCAGAAAGCGATACCGCCTGAACCCGAGGGTGTAGAGATCCTCCTCCTTGGTGCACTCCTTAATGGTGATGTTTTTGTCCCGGCCCTCCGGGATTTTGGCCAGGATCCTGCCGTCTTTCTCGAGGGCGGCGCTCCTCCTCTTCTCATGCCTCCTAAACCGGTCACGCAATTCCCTCGGGAAGGGGCTCTCGGTCAGCCTCACGTAGCACCACCGGTCTTTCCACCCTTTGTTCGAGGAGGGCGCCTCGGTAAAGAGCTTGAAGAGGGCCACCTGCTGTAAGTTGGCGAAGCCCTCGGCATTCGCGTGCCCCCCCCCCCCCCGGCACAAATTAAAGCTCTGGAAGAAGAGGTCCAGGCTAGGCGTCACCCCCCGGGACTTGCAGAGCTGGAGGAAGCCAGTGATATAGGAATGGCTATTCGGGGTCAGCTGGCAGGGGACCAGACCCACGAACCGAAGGTACTCCCGGAGGAAAGGGTGCAGGGGGAAGCGGAGCCCCATGGACACCGAGAGAACATGCACCGCTATACAGCCCTCGGGAGCCCGGGAGAGGACGTCATCTGGACCCGGTGTCACCACGATGGCCGAGGGGCCCACGTGTAGTTGAGTGACGTAGATGTCCGCCGCATCAGCCTTCGACCTTATCTCCAAGGCGGCGGTGTTCAAATATGAATACCCCTCGGGCATATCGAGGGGCTTCCCTTGGTCTGCTACGCTGCCCTTCTTCTTGGGAGCAGCGGCCTTGGCCTTCTTCTTTCCGGGGGCCACCCGGATGGGGACCGCATTCAGCGGCCGAGAGGTGCTGGCCTCACCGGCACCCCGAGGGGGGAGCACAGCAACGGTGACCCTCGCGCTTTCTCTTTGTGCCTCCTCTTCAGCTGCTTGCCAGGAGAGGGCCAACTCTTCGTCCTCACATTCTTGCTCGAAGCCCTCGGCTTCCGCCTCAGCTACGAGGGCTTTCTGCAACTCCAGGGCAACGACGGCATCCTGTCCCACCGAAGACTGTGCACTTGAGGACTCCACGTCCGAGAGGACTTCATCCTCCATCGAGGGCGCCCCCGAGATATCTTGAGAATCACTCTGGGACGACATTCTGACTCTAGTTCGAAGGCTCGTAGGCGCTAGTGTTTTCTAAATATTCTATCTCCTAGCCTAAGGGCACAATACAAGTAGCTAAGAGGTGAAGGGCAAGTGGAGAAATGACCTTAAGAACAGAGGATTCAACCGAGGGCTGCTGTTTCTCTCTCTAGAAAAATTGGCAGAGCTTCGCTAACAAGGTTTTCGCACACGGAGGAATGCCTGGCCTTGGGGTATTTATAGGCGCTGGAATCCGGGCTTGGACCCGGAAACCGGGCCTCCGGACGGACCGTCATCATTACGCACCGTGTTTTCACCCAACCGGTGACGCCGCCCACGGGCAGCCAACCGTCACGCACCACGTGTACCCCCCCCCCCCCCAACGGCTATATCCTGACGTTACATATTCCAACGGCTATATTTCCAACGGCTATATTCTGGAAGCCCCCGGGTTTTCTACTTCACTCCACTTCGTCAAGGAGAGCCTCCGGGTACACCTACCCAGAGACGCCCCCGGGTTGTGCCCCACACAGCACATAACAGACGCCTTCGGGATCACTCCTTCAGAAACCCAGGGCTTCATATCAGGGCACCCCTCGGGGATTCCCCCTCAGCACTGCAAAACCGGGTAGCCCCCGGGGGAGTTGCCTCATTGACGGATAACCCATGGCACACAGGTAATGGGAGCCCTCGGGTATCTTCATCACCAACTAATCAACAAACAGTGGACCCCCCGGTAACAACTCCACTGCTGCCCTCAGCCAGCAGGCCCTCGATCCCCGGATTGAGGGGCTCCCCTTCGGCACCCCCAGGACATCAACAGCAAGCCTTCGGCTAATCAACACATGAGCCCTCAGAAAAAGAAGAGCCTTCGGCATTACCGTTATTCTCCATTTTTGACCAAGGTTTGACATTTTCGATTCATCATTGGGGGAATCCGGTGCACTCTTTTTCCCTCATTAGGATTTTTTCCCACAGGGTTTTTTCTAATGAGGTTTTTAACGAGGCATCCCCCCAAAATGAAACGAAAAGCGTCAGCCTTCGGCCCACAACACCAACGCAACTACTCTACTCCTTTTTACTACTTTACAAGTGCCTCAAGGAGTGGGGGACTGGAGGACCCCCTCGGGAAAATCATTAAATTACAAAATTAGTGAAATTCCAACAAACGACAAAGCAAGCCCTCAAGTCCCGACATGTGGGTAACTGAGGGACTGCCTTCGGCAGGGACATAAAAGCAACAACTCATCACCAACTTCAGAGATCACGACAGGACAACATCAAAGGGCAAGCACAAATTACTCCTTTTCCCTCAAATACCTTTCGGCAAAAGGAGTGAGGGACTCCTGATGGAGTATATGGCCCGGGAACACCCGGCCCACAGACTCCTACTACACCAATGAAGGCCCAACAGGCCCAGGAGGCCCAACAGGCCCTAATCACGGCGCCCAGAGTACCAAGCAGCCCGCAATACGCACCAGGGGTGCCCTCGGCCCCCTGGCCGAAGGCTCTAAACTCTCACAGAATGGGTTTTCCAGGCAAACTAAGAAACTGGGAGAAAACGGCGAAAACAGTAGCCCTCGGCACCTGGAGCCCTCGGCACTCAGGGGTCCTCGGCACTAAGAGCCCTCGGCTAGTCCTCTGCAGCCGAGGGCACCTCTCCCGACATGATATCCGCCTCACATGTGTACAGATCACCGTACCCTGTACAGACGTCCCATCCAACAGCCGCATTAAATGCGGCCACATGCGGCTGCCAACGCCAACCAGTTGAGGTGACCCCTCGGCCAATAGGCGCTTGACACGTGTCCCTGCCCGGCATTTATTGCTACTATAAATAGCACCTCATTTCCCCATTTGTAACCACGCTGAAAACGCTCCACATTTATAATACGCTCTCTCTCTACATTTACCTGCTCTGACTTCTCTCTAAGTTATTCCCAGCAATAACCCTTCGGATATATACCCCCGGGTAGACTATCCATCAATATATTTGATAAAAAAGATTGAAAGAGTAGGAGTAGGAATGTAGAAATAGAAATTATAAATATTTATATAGTATTATTGTGTAATTAACAAAAATGTAGGAAGTAGTAACTAGTTAACTACAACAATGTAGGAACTAGTTAACTACAAATGTATATAATTAAATATATATGTTAAATATGAAAGTGTAGAGGTATATAAATATAATTGTAATATAATATGCTCCGTATTTAATAAGAAAGATTGAAAGCCAATGTAGGAGTAGGAATGTAGAAATATTAATTATAAATATTTATATAGTATTATTGTGTAATAATTAATAAGTATGTAAATATAATTACAATATGAATATATGAATTATGAAAGATGAAAGTGTAAATGTGAATAGAGTAGAATTAGTGATTGAGAATTTGAGAATTGAGAGTATAGAATTTGAGTAGAAGTAGAATGGTAACCCCGCACCCCCACCACCAAACCCCTCAGACCCCTCCCCAACGGCCTTATAGCCGTTACTAGCCGTTTGGAACGGCTAGTATTACCCCAGCCCCACCCCAGCCCCAGCCCCTTAATAAATAAAATAATTTACCGTTGGGACAGGAATCGGGACCGGGGCCGCCCGGTCCGATCCCCGTTTGGCTTACCCGGGACCAGCATGTTTTTATCAAGTGTAGATTATGTCTCCAAAATTTGAGCTTAAAATTCAATTAGGAAGTCTGTTAAATAAAGTATTGAAAAACATTCCGCCAAAATACATATATTTAAACAAAGCGAAGTGTTTTTTTTAAATTATTTAATTGACTTCATGATTTAATTTTAAACTGAAATTTTGTAGTCACAATCTAAACTTCATGGAGAACATGGTCACAAAATTTAGGAAGTGTTTGCAATTGTTTCTACTTTTTTTAAATTGCTTCTACTTTTTTAAAAGTGACTTTAGTAGTGATTTTGAAGAAATTGCTTAATAGTAAAAATTGGTAGTGTTTGAGAAACAATTGATATTCATCATCATCATTACCCCAATGCCGCAAAGGCTCCCACCTACGGTGGGGTAAGGGGGGTCGGATGTACGCGGTCTTACCCCTGTACTAAAAGCACATAGAGACTGTTTCCGAATGACCCAAGTGAAAATCGCGTCGAAAATTGCATAGACTAACTGTTACTTCATACCAAAGAAGCGCAGACAGTTTAGTGAGCCACTTTGCTTTATTCGATCATATTCTCAAGCCAAAAAATAGTGAGTCTTTGGCTCCATTGAAAATGATGGAAAAGTAAAAAATGATAGTGTGATAAATATGTGCTTTTGGTGTAAAAGAAAAAGTAAAAAACAATTTCGTGCTTTTAACTTTTAAGTGTGTAATTGAAGTAAAAGTTGACACTTGAAACGCGCATTTTAGCCAGTCAAAGTCAAAAGCTGAAAATTATTATTTTTGATTATTTGCACATACCCTTCAGAAAAAAATCACCTGGAAAGCATCTCAAATGGAGGTGGTCGGATGACGGTTCCTATCAGACTGGCTTGATAGGAAGATTCATCTTCATTTACATTCGCTCACTATACAAACCTTATGTTCCACTCGGTTTTGCCAACTTTCATTTTTTGTTTATCCCAAAAAATTTTGGTGCTTTCCTTTTAAAGCAATGCATTTGTGGTTCTGTTCATGTATCCCTTCTCTGCACATGTCTTAACTATACAATCTTTACTATTCTAATTTCCCACCAACATCAACTTGGCAAAGTTGAGTGGGGTGGGGGTAGGGATGGAGCCGACCTGAGCCGGACCTGACCCAGATTTGAGCAGTACTGGATTCTGGAAAAGTAGAGCCCAGTACTGGCCCGGTATGCTCCGGTATCGGTTTCGGTACCCACCCATTTAATTAAGTTTTTGTAAAAAAATAGCCCATTGGGCCGGACCGGGCCCAAAAATTCAAGCATGAAGCCCACCCCTTATAACCACCGGTCCCGGGTCAGACCACCCGGGCCAAGTCCATCCATAGAAAGGGTAATATAACTTTTAAACAATCATTAATTCTTGGCCCCATATGTAATTAGAAACAATCATCGATCATGCAACTCACCGGTGGATTCCTAATACCACTTGGGCAGTGTTTGCAAACGCTTAAAAAAAGCGTTTCTCGATTTTAGACTTTTAGGCTTAAAAAACTAAAAATGGTGTTTTCGAGTGACAACGTCTACTTAAATAAAATACTAAAAAGTTAAAATCTAGAATCTGCTTTTTACTTTTTCTATTACACAGAAAGCACATATTTTACCAAACACTACCAACTTTTACTTTTCAAAATCAATTTTTTCTCAAACACTACCAACTTTTATTATTAGGCACTTTTTCTAAAATTACTTTGAAAAATGATTTTTTTAAAGCACAAGCTTGCAAACACTCCCTTAAGAGACGAAAAGTTGGAGAAATAAGTTAATTCATCTTATAGAAAATGACAACTTCAAGAATCCTATTAATAAATGAGATTTTTTTCAAAAATATTACTAAAATAAAACTTATTTACACAAATATGATTAATAATTACTACAATCTAGTGTCATGATAATTTAAGTTTAAAATTTGAACATAAGTTACTATTATTTCATTATTACTATAGTCATTAGTCACACTTTTGTAAACAAATCTTTATTTTTATCATAAATATATAATTATTTCATTAATAAATATCATTAGAAGCATAAAATGACCTGATCACCCTTAATAACAGACATTTAGAAAAACATATTTATTTCTTCTAAAGAAAATGACAAGTGACAATAGTCGTTCACAAAAAATTCTCTCCAAAATGACATTTACTTTGAAATGGAGGCAATACTGCAACGAAGATCAATGAATTAAAATGGACAACAATAGTTAGGTTCATGTGACACGAAGGATTTAAGAAGGAATCGAGTCTCGAATAGTTGATGAAGAGTTTGGTTCATTTACAGCCACACACACACATCAATCTCTGCAATTTTAAATATGTCCAACAACTCACGTATATATTCATTGAATTTGAAAGCAACCAGTTAAATATGCATGAAGAAATCCCAGGAAAAAAGAAGGCTTAAGCGCATCTGGAAACGCAGATAGCATCATACCCTCATCCCTCTTCAAAAGCAAAGATCCTAAACTAGAATCAATGGAGAAGAAATCGAATCAATATACCAGGTCTCCTTCAGGTAGTTCCCAGTTATCTTCTTCCTCTTCCTTAACCCTGGCCCTCTCATTTTTGATCGTAAAGTCCTCTCGCTTATCTTCGAAGGAACTCCTCCGCCTGCACATCAAATATCAAATATTACAATGAAAAGAATTTCCCCACCCATCTCTCATTTCATAGGAAAAAAATCAAACATTTTGAACAAATAACAAGCACACTACCATTTCAGCATCTTATGAACTGATTTAGGACATAACATGGCAATATTGTTTAGACACTATTTCAATGCTCACCTTAATTTTAAGCCAGCGAAAAAAATACAAAGAGGGTTATGCACCGTGCTATGCTAAGAGGTGTCAAAAATTAGGAGTAGAGATCTTCGTTTCTAAGGTACAAAATAGGATGGCCAGTTTAGCTAAACATTAAGAAGCTCCAGTGCAGAACCTGAACTCCACCATATTTTGTATGATGAAGTAAATCACTGCCTAGACTTCTCCTGATCAGTTATCTCTAAATAGTGACAAACTAACTTTAGCAAGTGAAGTGGTATTCACATTTTCACGGATTTACAGCTCTCGCCTCCTCCGACATTATTATTAGAATAACTAACCTATATATGACTAAAACATATGGTATTTCTTGTTTGTAACCTTCTCAAAATAATGATCTTCTAAATTTAATGAATGGTGCTTCTTATCCAGGGAATAAAATATTTGAAGAAAATGTTTTAGACTTTTTTTGGGCAATTATTTCTTATCAGTACATCCAGAGAAATTGAGGAAATTTCCATACGAAAAAGTTTCCTTTTGGATATTCGTAATCAATTTTAACCATATGCCGGCCTAAGGTTCCCTTACATGAAAAAGGGGAGCTCCTTACATAAATACCCCATGCCATTGCATTGGGGCAGTATCAAATTCAGAACAAATAGTTAGAGTTAAGTTTGTCTTGGGTAGGGAGAGAACCACACATCAGATTTTGATAGATCCGTTCCTGACACCATGGGCAGAGGAGGGAAGTTGTGGTCATCTACTAAGTTGTAAAGTAGAATGGAACTGTTCCTAAAAAGTTCCCACACCTACATATCACATATGCTAATCTTACTACCTCTGTCCCATATTGGTTGTCTTGTTTTAATTTAGCACGATTATTAATAGTGGTTAAAAAAGTAAAAGTTGTGGTTGAGATTGAGAAGAATAAAGGGAAATGATAAGGACCACATATTTCTTGCCAAAAAGGGAAGCATGACATTCATTTTGGGACAACTCAAAAGGGAAAGTAGGACAACCAAAATGGGACGGAGGGAGTACTAGTTAATAACTTATAAATTACATAGGCAGCGAGCTCCTAGACGATCTGATCTCCTAGACTTTTCCTCTTCGACAGGCAAGAGCCTTCGATGATAGTGACATTTTCTGGACAGTGAGGTAACAAATCACAGGTTTTCTATGCTTCCATTCTTTTTTTATTTCTATCTTCGCTAGTTATGGTTTTTTATCTTTTACCTTTCTTATGTTCTTATTTTATTTTTATCTTATATTTATCTTTATCTTATTCACTTTATCTTACCTTATCTTTTTATTTTTCTTAATACCAAAGAGGACTCATTGGGTAGTGAATGTATGATTATCTGAACCACTCTAAAAGTATGGAGTATAAAATACTGAACCATCTACCCCAAAATACCTTTTAACCTTTGTCCCAAAAAAGAAGCTATGTTTGGCAGTGCGCAATTTTTTAACCTTGGTAAGGTGCAAACATACCATTATCTGATCAAACGTGAGAATTTGGCAGAAAATAAGTGTTCAAAACCTGAATTTTCCTTGGTATAGGGGAAGTATTGCGTAATTATTTGAATAACTAAGAGAGGCCTTCTGCCACTACCTGATGGTGCACGTTTTGGGACTTCTAGTAAAACCTTTTTGGATGCAGTATCCAGGCATCCAGCATAATACTGATCACAGACCAAACAATGCAAGCCATATGTGGCGACCTTGACCTAAAACACATTGTTAGATGAAATTCACAACCTTTTTGTTACAAATTCACGACTAACCAACCAGGAGTTCGGTAGCTCAAAAGGGCTCTATGCCTCTCTCCAACATACTTGTTACAGTATGATATGATGTGTTTGTATGAAACATAAAAGAGCCTAAATGATTCATTAATCAGCTAATAAATAAAAATAAACGGACAAACTGCCATATGAAGCTTAAAGGAGCCTAAATGATTCATTAATCAGCTAATAAATAAAAAAACGCATAAACTACCAACTTAGCCGGTTACTAATGCAAAATTAATAAATTGCAGAGGAGTGGCAGGTCTGGTAGTCAAAATGTTAATTTTCAATGATCTCATTGCACAAGCCCTACTAGGCCAATTATGCATGCAAATCAAACATGTTAGATTGTCCAAATAACTTGTATTTGAACTTACTCCGAGTCACCCAAACCTCCAATTTTCCACTTCTCTCTTCACCACTGTTGGGTCATAAATTGTACAGAATCACATAACAAAATAGCACCCCCTTCAGTAGTCAGAAACAGTTAAATTACTAATCGATTATACACAACATAATTGAAGCTCTGCTCATCCTCAAAACAAATCCCAATTTCCGGATAACATTGATCAAGCCATCATGTTGTGTGTGGAAATCAAGATTGCACTATACCAGGAAATAGTAACATGTTTATCAACCAAAAGTGAACTGAGGGAGGGAAATTGGCTGCAGTACCTTCGACTGTTGCGCTTGGCAGCTTCGCGTGACTTGCGCTTCTTCTCCTCCTGCTTGTTCTCGAAGAACCTCCTGCGCCTGCACTCATAAATCAGACCGGTTTTCATCACTTCTCGGCGGAAGCGGTTGATCAGCCTCTCCTCTGGTTCGTTCTCCTCCACAATCACCTCCGCATTGTAAGACGATAAGTAAAGTGTGTTGGGGTGCGTCAGGGAGGGGAAGACCGCGGGCGCGAGGTCGAAATTGTCAGACGGAGACGAGTGCAGCGGTGATGTATACCGTTGATTGACGGAGGTTTTCACTAGTTGGGCCCATCCGTCCTTGGCTGTATTATATACAGGAGAGGAGTGGTACGAGGAGAGAGAAAGGTGGAGTGGAGATGCTTTGAGTGATGGGGAGTCGGAGGGGGAGAAGGACAGCAGACTGACGATGGTTGAGACCGCCATGGAAAATGATCTGTGCGGATAAGGCTTCAGCACATCAAGTATTCTAGTTCACAGACTCAAAAACGGATACCGGTTCCGAACAGGAACCGTGGAAACCGGAACTTTTGATTTTTTTTTAAAAGTTGATTTCTATAAGTTATTAAGTTAGAAATTTTTAAGAAATAACATCACATCACTAGGTTTTCTGAACCCCGTTTCATCGGTTCTGCGGCGGCGGGCTAAAAACCCTATGGCGGCGGAGACTCTTCCAAGTAGGTTCTGCGGCGGCAGTTTTAGTATGTGACTCGGCCTCATCGGGTCAGTTTTGCTAGAGTTCTGTCCCAGAGTTTTCTTCCGGAGTTTCTTTTGTCTCCCTCGTGTGTGGAGAAGCTTTTCGTCCTCGCCGGTCTATCAACCTGGTCGAGAGTTCTTGTATTCCGTTCTGGAATGGGCTGCGTTAGCTGGAATTGTCGGTGCTTGGGGAATCTTGCCACAGTCCAAGTTCTTCATGACATTGTGTCGACATACCATCCGTCAATAATTTTCCTTATGGCAACCCTCTGTGGAAGTGAATGTATCAGTCAAGTTTGTAAATCGATCGGTTTTGAGAAGTGATTTTGCGTGACATGTGACGGGAAAAGTGGAGGGTTGGCTAAATTGCGGAAAAACGAGGTAACGGTGGATATACAGGCGATTGTCTCAAAACCTACCATGGAGATTGACAGGGTTTTATGGCTTCCATGAACGGCAACGACGGAGGGAGTCGTGGGAGCTATTACAAAATATGGCCACGGTGAACAATATCCCATGGGCGGTTCTTGGAGATTTTAATGATATTTTGCATGCACATGAGAAGAGAGGACGATGTCCCCAGCCTCCTTGGATGCTCACGGGATTTCAAAATGTCGTATGGGGGAGTGGTTTAGTAAATTTCCCTTTCGACGGATACCAGTTCACTTGGGACAGAGGACGTGGCACGAACAATTGGGTCGAAGACAAGCTTGACCGTATACTTGTGAACGATGGATGGCTGGACATTTTCGGTGAGGATTGGGCTACCTTTATTTCGGGCGGTAATAGTGATCATCTTGCTCTTTTTTGAAGTTTAGCCAGAAAGCAAGGAAACGCAGAAGATCTAAATTCAAGTTTGAAAATCATTGGTTGAGGGAAAAAGATTGCCACAACGTAGTAGAACGTGCATGGAGCTCATGTGAGGATCAAATTTTACTCGAAAGGCTACAATTTTGTGGAGTCGAGTTAAGAAAATGGGGTAAACATCTTCGGCGGGGTTTTCAGAGACGTATTGACGGTTGCAAAAGGGAGATGGAACGCAGCAGAGGCCGAATGGATGCAATAGGGTTGGTCGAATTTGCTAGCAAAGGTATGCTATTTAGAACTTTTGGAAAAGCAGAATTCTTTCTAGAAACAGAGGCGAAAGAATTTTGGTTACAACAGGGAGATATTAATACTAAATATTTTCATAACTCGGTCAAGCAAAGGAGGCGAAAAAATTTAATGAAGGGTTTGTACTCTGATTCGGGTGGATGGGTGACTAGTCAAGGGGAGCTGAGTAACATAGTTATTAATTATTTTGAGGAGCTCTTTACCGCGGGAAGCAGTCGGGATCTTTCGGGTTTTGACAATGTTCAAAAAGTGATTAGCGACAACCAGAATGCTATCCTTTTACGAGACATAACGGAGACTGAGGTGAGGGCTGCGGCGTTTAGCATGCACCCGGATAAGGCTCCAGGACCAGATGATTTGAACCCGGGGTTTTTTCAGGCCTTTTGTGATGTTGTGGGACCAGCTGTGCTGGATTTTTGTATTAGATTGTTTAATACAGGGAGGGTACCAGAGGATTATAATGAGACTACTATAGTTCTAATTCCGAAAAAAGATAATCATGTGGCCATGGGTGATTGGAGGCTGATAGCGCTGTGCAATGTTGCTTATAAAATATTTGCAAAAATTCTAGCGAATCGGCTCAAAGGTCTACTACACGGCATTATTTCTGAAAACCAAAGCGCTTTTATGCCTGGTAGATCTATAATTGATAATATTATAGTTGCTTTTGAATACAGCACTTTCTAAAGCGAAAAACACAGGGAAAGGAAGGCTACGTGGCTCTAAAACTTGACATGAGCAAGGCATACGACAAAGTTGAGTGGGGTTTCTTAAAACATGTTATGGAGTGTTTCAGATTTATTTCACGATGGACTAATTTAATCATGCAGTGTGTGGAGACGGTCCGATATCATATTCACATTAATGGGGAGCTTTACGGTCCAATTATTCTGTCTCGGGGATTAAGGCAAGGGGACCCATTATCACCGTATCTGTTTATTATGGTGGCAGAAGGAATAAGTGCTATGTTATGGACAAAGGAACAAGAGGGAGCTCTTCAAGGAATTCGAGTGGCTCGAGGGGCGCCGTCGGTTTCTCACTTATTATTTGCTGATGATAGTTTCTTTTTCTGCAATGAGAGGGATCATTTCATTATCAAAGAGCTGCTTGCCCAGTATGCATCAGTCTCAGGTCAGGTGATAAATTTTGATAAATCTAGTGTGCGTTTTAGCACAAATGTGGCTTGGGATGATAGGGATTATTTATGTAATATTTTTGGAGTTGGGGAAGACAGAGGTGGAGGCAAGTATTTGGGGCTACTTTCGATGGTGGGGAGAAATAAAAAAGAAATTTTTGGCTACATTAAAGAGAAGGTTATCCAAAGAATCCAAAGCTGGAATAGCATGTTCCTATCAAAAGCTGGGAGAGAAGTGTTAATTAAAATGGTAATTCAGGCTATGCCCCAATATGCCATGAATGTGTTCTTATTGCCACCAGATTTATGTAGTGATATTGAAAAAACTATGAATGATTTTTGGTGGAGAGGGCATGCTTTCAAAAGAAAAGGCATTAGGTGGAAAACGTGGGTGATCTTTGTATTCTGAAATCATAAGGAGGGCTGGGTTTTAGGAAACTCCGCGAGTTTAATATCACTATGTTGGGTAAGCAGGTATGGCATATTTTAAAATATCCAAATTCGTTGGTGGCTAAGATTTTAAAAGCAAAATACTTTACCCATGGTAATATCTTGGAGGCAAGGTGTGGACATAATCCATCCCTTATTTGGCGAAGCATCGTTTCAGCCATCCCGACGGTAAGAGGATGGGTTTGTTTCTGAATTGGTAATGGGAAGTCAGTAAGAGTATGGAAAGACAATTGGCTATTCGACACTGGAGGATGCAGGCCGGCCGAGAACGAATTAGCTGGATTGGAAAATATTTATGTCAATTCTCTTATGCTCAATGATGGAACATGATGTTGTTATTGGATGATGTTTTTATAGAGGAGGATAGAAATCTTATCGCTAGTATTCCTTTGCGACCGAGACAGGTGGATGATGAACTGATTTGGGCGGACGACACTAAGGGAGTATATTCTGTTCGAAGTTGCTACAAAAGACTCAACAGAAGTGTTCAACCGGAGGTGGGCTGGGCGAAAATATGGAAACTTGAGATACCACCGAAGGTAAAACTATTTTTTTGGCAAGCTTGTGTAGATTGTAAGATTGTTTACCTACTAAACAACGATTAATTCATTGGCGAGTTCCGATGTGGCCGAAGTGCCTGATTTGCGGGCACGAGGAGGAAAGCTCGCTGCACATTTTTCGAAATTGCACATTAGCGTGGGTTGTTTGGCGCAGCAGAGGCTGGAAATTCCTGGATGTTGTGGCTCTGAGTTTTGGAGATTGGGCATCCTCGGTGGCAGCGAGCAGCACGAAGGAAGAGTTCGGCCAGTTCACTATGATGTGTTGGACCTTATGGAAAGCTCGTAATGAGAAAACTTGGAAGAACTTAATCCCAAGTTGGAAAGGAGTTATTACCTGCGGAGGGGCTATGTTGGAAGGATGGCAGACGGCGCAGCTCCCTAAGGCTCAGAAGAAAGCTTCGGTTAAGGAGTTGGATACGTGGTAGCCACCGGAGAGAGGTTTCGTGAAGATTAATGTTGATGTCGCAGTTTCTAACGAAAGAGATGTAAGAGGTATGAGTTTGATTGTGTGGGACAGTAAAGGGGACTACATAGCAGGGAAAAGTGTGAGGAGGAGGGGCGGTTTACACCCGGAACGACGAAAGCTATGGCAATTGAGGAAGCTCTTAATTAGGCTATGGAACGGGGTTGGAATCGGGTGATTATTGTAGAATCTGATGCTCAGCACATTGTTAAGGGGCTTGCTCGAGGAGACGGCATACATTGTAATGATATTATTTTGGGAAAGTTCCCGAAATAGGACTAAAACAGTTTGAAAATTCCGAAATAGGACTGTCATGTTTTTTATTCCAAAAATAGGACTATTGACTGTCATATTTAGAAAATACTGCCATGTTTGAAGTCTGGTACTCCCAAAACATGACAGTAATTAGTCCTATTTTGGGAATAAAAACATTGCAGTCCTATTTTGGAATTTTCAAACTGTTTTAGTCCTATTTCGGGTAATATTCTCTATTATTTTTAGAGGTATTAGACATATGATGGTAGAATTTACCAGTATAAGTGTCCAGTATGTGCACCATACAGCGAATCAGGCGGCTCATATTCCCGCGAGGGAAGCTTGTTCAGGGTCTGTCAGTACTTGGTTGGAGAATCCTCCCGTTTATATTATTCATACGTTGAATAGTGGTGATCATTAATAAAGTTATTGCATTTTCAAAAAAAAAGTTATTAAAAATAAATTACAAATATTTTGATGACATCTTTAATATTTTTTATATCACAATGTATGACTTTGATTCACAAAGTATTGTTCTTATATCTTAATGTTTTAATTAAATACATATAAATATCCTAAATAAATATAATGTTTTAATTTGATTCACCAAGCTCAAATTTATTAAAAATAATTAAATAAGTTACAAATATTTGTATGACATCTTTAATGTTTTTTATGTCAAAATGTATGTCTTTGATTCACAAAGTATTGTTCTTATATCTTAATGATTTAATTAAATACATAAAAATATCCTAAATAAATATAATGTTTTAATTTGATTCACCAAGCTCAAATTTATTAAAAATAAATAAGTTACAAAGATTTGTATGACATCTTTAATATTTTTTATATCACAATGTATGTCTTTGATTCACAAAGTATTGTTCTTATATCTTAATGTTTTAATTAAATACATATAAATATCCTAAATAAATATCATGTTTTAATTTGATTCACCAAGATCAAATTTATTAAAAGTAAATAAGTTACAAAGATTTGTATGACATCTTTAATGTTTTTTATATCACAATGTATGTCTTTGATTCACAAAGTATTGTTCTTATATCCTAATGTTTTAATTAAATACATATAAATATCCTAATAAAATAAATAAAAATTATAAAAAAACGCCGAACCGGACCGGAACCGGAACCGGTGGTTTGGAACCGCCT